GGGCTGGGGTGCTGTTGTGGGGGAGTGAGGAGCATCAGGAGGGCTAAGGAGGCTGTGGGGGTAGTGAGGGGCATCAGCAGTGCCAGGGGGAGCTGTGGGGGGCTTTTAATTTTAATCACGGATTTAGGGTTTTTAATCAGAGAATTTGCAATTTTTAATCCGAGAAAATCAGGTTCCCTGTTGATAAGTGTGTCTGTTTCCAAAGGGTAAAAACCCGTGGGTTCCAAGAAGATAAACATATCTTCATATTCATTCCTCCCATTGTGTATTTGGCTTGATCCACTTCTGCCCACAAAGAATAAGCATTAAATTAAATAAGCTTTTGATCCATTCTGCTGTTAAAAAGCTGAAGATAGATCATTCCACAGGAACCTGTTCCTGTGTTGTGTATTTCTTGCTTCTTGCTCTCTCTTTTCATATTAAAAGTGTTGAGATGTATCTTCTCATGAAATTCTGAGGTTTTATACACACAGAGAGATGCACTTCACAGGGAACTCTCTCCTTAAAACTGCACTCCTTATTTCAGTCACTTATAGACATTATTCATTAGAATAATGTCTTTTTTTGGCCATTTCTGTTGGCAGTGCTCTACAGTGTGAGACACCTGTGTTTGCTTGGGCTGTAAGTGTTTAATCTCTTCATCCTTCATTGATCTTGAGAAGGCAGGGAAAGCCTTCTGCTGCTTAATAGCTACTCATCCGTCCTAAGAGGATTGGCTTTTGACAAAAGCTGTAAATGTAGAACCTCAAAAATAGCAGGCAAGGCAGAGGGCCTGCTCATGGATAGAGTTTTCCAAGTGTTTTGTAGGCATTTGAAGAACGTTGTTTTCCCCTCCCTTGATGAGGGCAATGAGTCAAGAGAAAAGATTTCACCTAAATTTTCCTACTGATCCTACACTGTGCTTTAGTGAAACATGGGTAACTGAAGCACTGAGCTAGTGAAATTAGCTCATGTTAGAAGTTTTTTTCATGTTGCCATTCCTTGATGTCACTTCACAATTTGTATTTGGAAGCTGAGACATTACCTCTTAATTTATCTGGATTTATCAGGACTGATTTCCTCCCCTCTTCCCAGACGTTTGGATGCTAATGGCAAAAAGTGGTTAAAAAATATTTTCAGGGACAGAAGCTGAATGCCAATATAATCATTCATTTAAATGCCAAACAGCACACAATTGAATTTGGTGCAGTGTCTGATCAAAGAAAGAGACTCTAAAATGAGTAAGGATTGAAAGAGAGATGGCCATATGATTAAGGCCCAAGATTCGGTTCACCTTTCTATGCAGTATTGGGCAAATCACATACCTTTTTTCATTCCTTTTTCTACAGTGAATAAGACTAAATTAATGAGTACTTCTGAAATAACAGTTACTCCACTTCAGAATATGCCATAGCAAAGCCTATAACCAATAAAGTTTTTTCTGCATGTCAGCCCTTGATCAGGAAGATTGCCAAAAATGTCTGCTACTCTTTAAAAGTACCAAAGTCTTCTGCCATGATAAAATCCATTTTATTTTGCAATTTGTGAGCATATATAAACCCTTTAGTGCTTATATATAGTCAAGCAAAGGGAATTCTTCAAAATAGCTTTTGTATAAAATTGCAAGGTTCTCAGTCTTTGAAATGTGGTAAGCTGATTTATGTACCTGCCCAGGAGCTTGCCTTAGTAGTAGTGTAAAACAATGCTATCTTACCTTTTGGAGTAGATACCTAGTTACATTTCTTGTTGTCATAGAGACTACAGAAATTACAGAATAAGTTTTAAGTGACTCCTGTTTATTCAGTGTTCTGAAAAAGTAACCTGTAAATCCAAGCGAACCCTGGTGTGGGGAGAGAAGGAAACATGTGGTGTGCATGGCCCCTGGCAGGGAGGAAGATTAGTGGCAGTTGCAGGAGTGGGATGGAAAAGTGGCACTCAGGGAACTTGGGGGAGGGATAGAGAAAGGCAAGTTCCTAGTGTTTGCAGTATGCTCACCTGCAGAAGATGGGACGTATGCAAATACTGTGGTAAAAGAAGAAAAAGTGGTGTAGCTGAGTTCAAGAACCATGAAGACAGTCTGTAGAGGAGGAGGGATGATCTGTGATGTGTGTGTGCATGTATTCATCTGTGCAAAAGAGATGCTTAAGATTCTTTAATGCTGTTTCATAAATAGGGACATACCATAATCACAGCAGAAGTGCACTGCACAGCAGCTCCTTTAATCTTACTTTTTTGCCCTGCAAACCACTTTTTTCTTTCTCGTATGCCAATTGTAACACAAACTGATTGGCTCACATGAATATTGGAACAATATTGTTCAGGTTCAGAGTTCCTGGTCTTGGATGTTGAAAATTAAAGTGCTTGTGTGGCTTATATTAATACCGCTTTTTAAAAACAAAGTTGCATGTATTTCATAGGTTCTGATCCCCTCACCTCATGAAGTCAGCATAGGAAACACTACATTTTGCATAGTAACTAAGTGGTTTCATCTCTACATGGAAAATAGTAGGGTTTCTTTCTTTTTATTACTTCCATATGCTTCCGCTGTAGATATCTGCAAGAATGAAGTGTCCTGTATTAAAAATCATCTTGCTGAAAATCTTAAATGCCATTTTAATTTTTCTAGCCAGTGGGAATCAACTTGGTCAGTGTTCATTCAAGTCCGAACGATCAGATGCTGTGGGCAATCGACAACAAATGTAACGTTCATGTGCGAATTGGAATTACAGAGGAGATGCCAGTAGGCACAGACTGGGAACACATACCAGGTAAAAATAGCGTTCGTGTGTGCTTCTGCCCATCAATGCAATCCTTGAAATGCTTGAATCCTGTTTCTGGTGGGTAGTGACTGCCACAGTGCCAAGTGTGACAGAGTGCTATGATTAATGCTGGTTTTGTTACTGGGTCAGTCTTTTGTCATGACTTGCGTGCGTGTCTCTTAAAGATACATTTAAGAACACTCTGATTCTGGATGCGTTGCTGCAGGAAAAGGTGCTGGTTTTCCCTCTGAATCAGGACTTTAGCAGTGCTCACAAGGAGTTCACAACTGCTCTGCTCTTGGTGATTCTGTGTCTGAATGTGTCAAAGTCAGGATCCTGTCCTCATGCGGTTATTAAACACCTAGCTTCATTGTGTGAGGCTGCATTATGATAATCCACTTGTTTTGGACAAACTCCAGATTGGGTAATTATATCATGCCTGGCCAAAACCTGCCCTTTGGTTTCAGTTGGTTGTCTATAGAGTTCCTAATCTGTCCTAAACAGTTGTGTGCACTGCTATGTGTTTTTAAATGCGTCAGAAAAGGAATTGGGAATTGTATACAGCCTAATAGTTTGTACAATGCAGTGAGCTCAATCTGACTAAAGGGGGCTAAATAAATGTGAAATTACTCCCACTCTCACAGTATACACCAGGTGCTTCACAGTGTCATATCTGCCTTTTAACTTCTAAGACCAAAATCTGCCATCACTCTTGAGCAAGTCTTTTAAATTCATTGTGATTGTACATGGGTGAAGGACAGAATTCAGCCCCAAATGGACTGCTAATAAAGCAGGGAAGCAGACTGGAAAGCTTTACAGCTCTCCATATCTGACTATATTGGACAACTCTCCCCTTACCAAGAGTGATATATAATACTGCAGTCTCACCTGCTTCTCTTACTAAACTGCACGGAGCTATTTTGCAAACATATAAGAAATTGCTTGAATTGATTTTGTTATGCATTTCCCTTCAGGATTGCAGGCATGTCAGTTGGCTATCAGCACTCGAACAGTTTGGGCGTGCTGTCCAAATGGAGATGTAGCACGTCGATATGGCATTACTGACAAGAACCCAGCAGGAGACTACTGGAAGAAGATTCCAGGCAATGTGTTTTGTTTAACAGGCAAGTCAGTTGCATGATCATCTGAAACCCTTGCTGCCCAGCCTTCTTACACCTATTATATGTTCTGCCAAGTGGCTTTCAAATTGTGAGTAGGAAGGAATGTCATGTTTTTAAATGAAGGTTTTTGCTTGTTTGACCATAACACTTTAGGCAACTTAGGCTTTTATAGTGATACCAAAACCAAGGAAAGTGTAGTTGAACAGAAATAGCTTGTTGAGTATTTGTAACTGGAGCATATTGCTTGAACTAAACACTAAGTTACTTTTGTTTTGCAGTGACACCTCTGGATGAACTGTGGGCAGTTAGTTCTTCAGGATACCTTCTTCAGCGCCTCACTAAGACCTTCAGTCACTCTTACGGCTTGCAGAAGGGTAGTGACCCTTCTGTTTTGCTTCACCCTGATGATTTTGAAGATGAATGGGAGGTGATATAAAAGTGCTTGAGCACATGAAATAGTGGAATAGCAAGAAGAACACTTGGAATTCTTGTAACGTACATCCAGATTGTTGGGTTTTAAAGCCACTTATATTGGACATGCAATATTAGCACTTTTTTATTGAAAACTTGAACTGTCAGATAGTCCCACCATTGTGCATTCAGGTGTTTGTTCCAGTCTCTCTTGGGAGACTAAGTGTGGCATACTACAGTTGTTTAAGTGTGTTAATGTAACAGCTCATTTGGAAATATAACTCTAAACTTATTAGCAATGAAAGTGGATATTTTACAACCGCATGCACACTAATATATATCTATATATATATTATGTACTTCTTTTGAGAAGGGCTTCTGTTACATTAAATATTTCTCAACAGCAGAAACATTAAACATTTCTCAGTTTCTTGTACTTGATACTCCAGATAGAGGGAAATGCTGTCTGTCTATTTTACGCATTTGAGAAGATTGCTCTGTACAGCATGGAACCAAATATAGTAATATGTTTCCCTGTAACATCTAATAACATCAGGATAATACTGCACTGGTGTCAAAATTAACATGATTTGAACCATTTTCATCTTAATATCCCCAAGGCTGCACTAATTTTCCATCTCTGGAAACTTGGGTTCATAATCTGGCTTCATTAACAGATGACGAGTTTGGACTCATTGTAGTTTCAAGTGGATGTTTTTCCACTTCACATAGTGTTTTCTGCTCTGTAGAGGCCCAGGACTTGGAGTAGCAGGGAAGTTGGAGATCGAGTTTGTTAGACAGCAGCAGGGAAGTGAGAGACAGCTCTCACGGTACCTGCTGCACTATATTTGTGCCTCGAATCAGTTCAGTGCTTTATCTTGTGGACTCATTTTTTTGAGTACCAAATTCAGACATTTATAAAGAAAATGGTAATTGATAGAATTATCTATATATCCCCTAAGTAAATCTGTGATATTATTGACAGATACCTAACAAGATTGAGATCTTTAGCTATGTTAGCTAAATTTTGAAGTGTCTTATACTTAACAGATGTTGCAGCAGAGGTGTTTAATGAACTGAGCAACATGCTGAGTAAATTTAATCATTGCAGTTTATTTTTCTTTATACTCTAAAACTTCTTTAAAAGATACCTCATCTTTTTTAATAATTAGAATTATAGATGAAAAGGACTTAAATTCAGTGATGTAGGTGGAATTACTTTTATGTTCATCATAAATGTGTACATCATATGAATGTTTAAACAGCTGCTAACCAGTGCTGTAAATGAGCCAGCTTCAGGAGAGGGTGTAAGGAAAAGTGAGCACATCAGTTTTGAGAACATCTGCGTTGGTGGATAGAAGAAAGAGGGTGTGTTTTCCTTCACTGCATGGGTTTGAGATAAACATGGTGCAAAGTGTAAATCTGTTGGTAGAAAGGACCAACTTGAGAGAGGGGGTTGGGGGAAGTTCTTTTTAGCAGCACTTCTAGTATGGGCTGCCAGTTCTCAGTCTGATCTTTAAGTCTGGTAGTGAGGGGGGGAGGTCAGATTTGTTTCCCTTTTACACTTGATCTGTTTTGCCTCATCTCTTCCTCATCCATATATGGAGACAGCCACAGAGCTTTTTTTAGTCTGCCTGGCACTGGATTGTAATGGATTCAGCTTCTGAAGTAACCCAGCCTGTTTTGTACAAGCATAGCTGGGTGTTTTGAGAACCCCTCAGCAAGTGGATATCCAGTTTGAAAGTATCCTACAGCAATTCCTGTGTCACCTGCTTTGGAGGAGGGACAGCACTTCTCTGCTTCCTGCCAAGGACCAGATGCTTGGATACATGGGCGTTATTTAATACTGACACTTTTGTATTACACTTTTCTGAGTTGTCTTAGTAATGGCTGGAGCCTGCTAGCTGTTTGTATACTGTATTATACTGTACCTTGCTTTAGTCATTAATATTAAATTGGTGTTGAAAGCCCTTCTGAAGTGATGGGATTTCTTAGTGTAATTTCATTAAGCCTGAACTCAGATGGTAACTTTTTTCATTTTTTTTAGCTCCCTTTTATTTCTGTACCTTGTTTTTGTTTTCTCTGTTGTGTTTTGAGACAAGTGCAATAAACTAGGGGTTTTTTTTTTTTTCAAATTACTGCATCCAGAGACTCATCTGTTCTATAACCGATGAAAAATTAAGCATCAGTTTTGTGCAGGGAACTCCTCTTGAGGCTGAAGAGAGACAGAGGTATGTACAAAATCCCATGTTACATCAGACAGAAGGGGCCAGAAACTTTGGTCATGACAGTGTATAGACCTGGATTGAAGGGACACTGTCTGTTTTAAAAGTACCATGTGTGTTTGTGAAAACGCTGTGGCCGTTGCACTGCCTGATGAGATGTTGCACGTGTTAATACTAAATGCAGTCTAAACACATCCATATTAAAGTGATCACTTGCTGCTAGATATCTTGGTAGTATTTCTTTCTGTGTTAAATGTACACAAGTTTCATTTATACATTGAATGTGGACCTTAATGAAGAACTTCCACATACAGAGGAATCCAACAGAGCAAATGAAATCTTTGTGTCCTCAGTTATAAATTTAGCAAATCTGCAGCATCTTAGAGTCAGTATTTCCCAAATAGTACCTCTATAACTATCTCCTCTGGGTAATGAGGGTTAGTTTCTATTTTTTTCAGATGGAGAAGCTGCCATAGAAGTTATGACCCAGTGAAGTTTATACAGACAGGCATGGCCAGAGTTAATAAACTGGTGTGAGTTAAGGCCTCTGACTCCCGAATAACATTTTCTAAGTACAAGACCTTCCTGGCTTTCTTCCTTTATTTGGCTGCTGATATCTTCAGTAATCATCAACATTGCTTTTCCCTTGACAACCCAGCTCAGCTTTCTTCTGGATTCTGCAGAAAAATTGTAATCTCCCATTTGTAATCTCAGTCTGTTCTGTTGCCATGGTACAAGAATAATTGTCATGTCACAGTTTACAGGTGTTCTGATGACATGGTGATGAGTGCAGTAGAAAATAGCTGTCTAGACAGACAACCTGGTTGGTTTTCATATTGATTTTATTACTGAACTGACTAGGAAAAAATGGGTTGAAGGCTCTCTTTTGACTGTCAGATATTAAGAATTGCCTTTTGTATGTTATCACTTCCTAATAAAAGTTCAGGTACAGAAAGAATGGATTAAGCCTTTAGAATTACACTTCCTTTTCAATTTTTAAAAGAAGCCATGTTTTGTTTTAGACCAGAACTGTGCAACACCTTGGGGCTACACATTGGCCATATGCTGTGGAGGTGGGTGCTGGGATTCTCCCTGTTCACTGCCATGTGACTGTAAACAAGGTGGCTGCAGGGGCCAGCATGCCTCATGCTGGCCCTTTGCAAGCCAGTTGGAGAGTATTGGTTTATACAGGTGTTAAAAGCAGCTCCCCATCCCTTCTGCAAATAGATGGGATCTGCAGAATGCCACCAAAGTTAAAGTATCGGAGGGTGATTTCAAAGCTGCAGATCCCTCAAGGAGAACTTTCTCCCACCAAAACGATCTGCAATCAAGAGGTATCCAGCGCAAGTGCCTCTGCTGATAACAGGTGTTATCAATAACATGTTTAAATACAACTTTCTACTCTAGATGCAATCCCTTTCTACTCTAAATGCAGTCACATTTAGCATGTTCTTTAACAAATGCATTTTCCCAGCACAGATGTGACCAAATAGGAAGGTTCTAGGCTTCATAGGTCAAAGCTGTGCCCTTGAACTACCAATGCAGATCATGGAATTTGAGTGCCAGTTGCTTCTAGTAGGAGGCATTGCTTAATAAATGGGCCAGTGTCAATTGTACCCAGTTGAATTTCCAGATTGATTTGAAGTGTAAGCTGATGGTATCCTGGAACAGAAGTCCTGGCTTCCATTTTCCATAGAAATGGGTTTCTAGTTTGGGGCACAGGTTTTGCTCTCTAGTGGGTTCTTGTTCATAGGACAGTAACATGTCATCCACTATAGGAAAGTGGCACTATGGTGAGAGGAATGGCACATGGTAGGCCTAGAATAGCTTTCGGTTTCTAGTTGTCATGAGACACAGCCTTTCATCTCTAAATCATTTGTCTAGATCACACCCAAGCTTGTAGTAACCAAAAGTTACAATACTTGATGGCTGTTACTAAGGTCTGTTAGATGACCATAGTAAGTCCCTTAGTGCTATTTTACATGAGAGATCCTTCAGTGAGCTGTGGTTATATTACAGTTGCGTATCATAGCTATGGCAGTCTTTTAAAGGTAGCCAGGGAGCTTCAAAATGATCAAATGGGCCTGATGCTGAGAAGTGCTGAACACTGCCCATATTCCTTTCAGTAGAATTTGAGAGAACGTGCAGGGTCAGGCTTTAATTCACAGAAGGTCACAGGTGAGTTGCAAGTGCTATTCTTTTACTGATGTGACTGGAGTTTCCCTAAAAATGATGAATATCTAAGAAACCCAAATGACTTTCCTCCTGCACTTTGCAGTCACCTAGGGTGGGGATGTTTTCATACTAAGCAATAAGTGGCTCCATTGTTAAGTGAAAGTGGGTTTCCTATCACTTGCCACTGAGGTAGGCACTTCTACATGAGACGCTTAATGTACTTTAGACTAATTCTACTGCGTATTAGCACAGTTGGCAACAACAATGCTAATGCACTAATGCACAGTAGACTTAATCTAATGCAGAATAACATCATACAAAAAGCATTCATCTGCGCTAATGCTCAGTAGCGCCGATTACGGCACATTTAGTACCTGTTATTACTGGTCCTGAACTTAATACGATGTAATTATGGCACATTAATGAACATATAGATACGCCCAGGCACTCTTTAAAATATATATATATGATCCAATTCAGCTGCAAGCTACTGGACCCAGTGCAGGAATTATTGTTAGAAACTCTATGGTCTGTGTCATGCAGGAAGTCAGACTAAAATGATCATTATGGTTTCTTCTGGCCTTTTTAAAAAATTGTGAATAGCACTGTCACAATCCTTATATCAGCCATAAAACTATATCTTATTTGATGCTGGCTGCAAGGGCAGTAAAGATCATGTGCTGTTTTGGAGAAATTGTCTAAACTTCACATTTCTGTGCCATAAGGACTTTTTGCTTTATGGAGATCAGCATTTGATTTGTGTACACTGTAAAAGCAAAGATAGACAAAGTATCCAAAAAACTAAAATCCATTCCTCAGTCAAAGAACCATCCTTTATGCCATCAAAAGCTGCTCAAAGTTGTAACTTCACAGCTGATGACTAGCTGAGTTATTGTATGCACTGCTGAATGGCACAGATTATGCTGATAATTATGAGATGTCTTCAGATGCCCTTCTCTGTTCTAGTCTGTGCCCCTACCAGAAGCTGGTGATTTTTGTAGTGCAGCTTTTGCAGTGGACACAGTGAATTATATTTAAGTAACATTACACTGGCTTCCCTGTTGCAGATAGAGAGAGGACTGTTCTGTAGCAAGGTGCACCTGATAACCTTTTATACTCTGCAAAAGGCTTTCTCATTTCCTATGGTCTATTCTTGCATGAAGCACAGAAATTGCAATTTGTAGCCTGTATTCTGAAATCTCATCTCTGGAAACCCCAAAGAACATACATTAACCTTGTGTCAATTTCATACACATTTAATAATAGCTTCAACTTTGTGCAAGGTTGCCGGGTGAAATATACATAGAAATAAACCGACTATCAGTACAGCTGACTATTGTCTGCCTATGTTGAAAGTCGGTTCTTAGAAGTTGTGGAGAGCATGATGGATTGGGAGAGTAGCACTTTAACAATTTAGCATTGTTAATTAATTTTATAATTATAGTGCTAACAATGGTGACCTCATTAGATAGTAATAATAACGCCATAAGTACTTGGGTAGCTCTATTGTGCTTCTCCACTAATTAGCTGGATGATTGCTTAGAATGGCAGTGACATGCAGCATGTGTTTTTAAAAAAATCATTGCAAAGGTTTGTGGCTGGCAGACCTAGATATTGGCCAGATAAGTCGGGGAGCCACATCTCTCTACTGTCAGAGAGCTTGCTTTCTTTTCATGCTGTGCTATGGGGAGTTGAATTTTTTTTTAATTCTCCCTGCCTGCGTAATGGCTTGAGTGTTAGGGCTCCAGTACTGAGCACTCTTTGGAGGGAGGGGACAGATCTTGCCATATCTTCTTGAAGTATGTTACACAGTAGGTCCCTCCCTTTTGCTGACTGCATGCCTCTCTCCTGCCAACCTCACCAGTTTTACCTACTACACAGAGGGGTCTATAAAGGGACAATTAGAATTCCTTCAACTCCAGTTCTGCCTGATCAGTAACACCATATTAATGCCAGGATGGGGCTGGTGTGCCTTATCTGAAGCTGCTTATATTCTTTCTTTTTGGCACTTCTCTGCACCCTGGCTGATTTTTAATCGAAGCCCTTCAGAGTGAAATGTGGCAGGTTTTGGCATAGGCAAGGGGGTACTTCCTACCCAGTGAACTTCCAGGGTGCTGCCCAGGGCAAGCTGGGACTCAGTTTTCACTTTAAAGACTTATTTCGATCCCTGGCTTTCGCAATCAGACAATTGTTGAATTTATCAAACTAGTTCTAGAACCAGACAGGGCTTTGGCTTAGAAG